TCGGAATCGCCACAGCGACTGGAGCGGTCTTGACAGGGGATTGGTCCGACGGACGGACGTAGGAGGCCAGTGCATGTGTACTCATTGGCGGCGGGAAGCCTTGGCATAAGCTTACCTGCGCGGAATGAGACATCACAGGGGCTATGCCTATGTGTAAAGCGTTGCATTGTCACCCTAACCTGTTCACTCACAGAAACTTTGCGCCTCCAACGTGACACCAGTCTCCCCAAAGAATGCTATGGTACAATGCGATCCACGGTGGTGTCCTTTCTCTGTGCATCTGCCGACAGATGATATGGTAAGTAGCTCGATACAGTACCACAATCTTGAGCAATGGGTTTTGCAAACGCCCAGTGACAGAGAATGCGGCTGGCCGAGTTAGAAGTTGCCGGGGAAGTACAGGTAGATTCTTTCACTGGGGGCAGCCCTGCAGCAAATCGCAAAAGGTCCTACTCAAAATTAAGCAAAGCAGTGTAGTATGTAGACGACAGCCTTAAAGTACACATTCCTACAGAACACGCTTCTCTTTCGTGCACCGTACATGATAGGGCTATGCGGGAACTGTGGCGAGATGCTTATACACCACCTGCCCTTCTGGTATACCCGGTTAATAATCGCTGGTAAGTTCGTCGAATCCTTCTGCAACATGGCCAGCGGAGCATCTCAAACTCAGCGGCTTATCGATCATTGCTAAAACCCGACCTCTGAGGATGAGAAACGAATCGTCTTATCAGATGAAGATGGGGGACGGAAACTGTCATTTGGACTTGTTAGCCGCAACCAATTTCCTATGCAATACACCTATTCTGGATGCCCGCGCCCAGTGAGCATCAAATGTTCCCACACGCAACTAAGTTAGTGCGAGGCCAAGCGTGCCTTCCTTATGAGACACGACTGACCAATTTTGACTTATTTCCTCTGGATTACGGACAGCTGCGCGGTGACCTAATACAGGCATTTCGCATGCTGCAGGGTCAGAATTGTTGCCTAGCATCCAACGATTTCTTTGAGCTGGCCACTACAACTAGCTTGCGCGGACACCCTCTCAAACCACGTGTGACTGGGGCAAGATTGAACACACGAAAATTCTTCTTCTCTAAGAAG